AGAAAGGTATTCTTTTCAAAAAATTATAGGAGAGAATTACCCTGTTATTTGGCTTTTCCCTTAAGTAGTATGTGCAAGCCGGAGGGAAAACTGCAGGGAGAGCTGGCTCTGATCTCTCCCGGAGCCACTGTCCTCTGAGGCCCCGTCTGCAGCAGCCGAGGTGACAAGGCCCGTCTGCTCCGTGGACACTATGCTGTGTACTGGCTTCTTCTCGCCAGCATGAAATCTCTCCTGCCGCTGCCTTTCTCATCGCAGGCTCCCGTCCGCAGGTCTGTTCCTGTGATAAGCATCACTCACATTCCCCGTTACAACGTAAAGGTTCTGGGTCAGACCACGGGCCTCCCGGGAGAGAAATTGTCTCCTTTCTCTTTACTTGCTTCTTTTGATTCCGCTTGACCCGCAAACCGAAAGAGAAAAAAGAAGGAAAAACGTAGGGAGAATTATACCCAAGTGTTCAGACAGTTACTCTGAATCCTGTGTGAGCCCCGTCTTGTCTGAACCAGCGAGGAGGTGAACTCAGACCGGAGAGTAACCCACAGCTCTGCCCTCCCCAGAGGAAGTGGGGAGTTGAAAGCGGGTGGACGGGAGATGGCACACACTGTCTGGACCTTGCCCAGCGCCCACGTGGTCCTTCGAATGAAATACCCAGATGCCCTTTCCTGGGAGACAGCGCTCCGGGTGTCTCTCCCGTCGCTCCCTGGTGGCCCGTTAACTGTCAGCGTGGCCTGTGGCCCCAGTCTGTCAGATGTGGGGAAGAAGCTTGGACAGAAGATGTGTGGTCAGCACACGTCATAGCAACCGATTGTTCAGTTGTTCTGCTGTTCGGTTGTTCCGCCGTTTGGTTTATTTGCTTATTAGAGTTTTATATATATAGATAAGTTTTTTTTTTCTCTTTAAAGCATGTTGTGCATTTTCTCTGAAAAGATTCATGTCCATTAAATAATAGCATCACAAAAATGAATAAATACTAGCTGCCATCCTGATGGAGCAGCTGTGCGGACAATGGGGCCAGGTTGCCTGCCCCAGGGGCTCCCTGCACGGAGCCCATGTGTCTGCTGGGCACTCTGACTGCCTGGCTGTGTCCTCCCTTCTGTGCCTTCGTCTTCCCACCGGAACCCATGGGGTTCTGGGGGGCGCTGTCCCCTCCTGAGTTCCATGCTCCTGACCCGCAGGATGGCAGGTGGCAGCAATGCATCCACGCAAGGTCTGCCAAGAGCTGCCATGTCTTCACTGACACAGGGGAGCCGCCCCGTCCGTCCGTCCCGTCCATTTGGAGACCGACACGAGCAAGGGGAGGGATACAGTGCTATTCAGGGGGCCTCCCGAGACCCCAGCCTCATGGTCCTACATCCAGGGGAGAACTCTCGTGGTCCTGATAGTGCGGGGTGAGGGGAGGCACCACAGGGAGCCAAGTTCTTCCTCCTGGAGGACAGGCGGGAGGCGAGGGCGGACTGTCAGTGGGACGCTGTGCGGAGTTCAGTGGGGCGGGGACACGGGGCACGTAGCCAGCGGCGACAATGACAGTCAGGATATGGGGTGTAACTGCATGCGGTCTCCACCCGGGTTGGCTTTGTGTTTTAGAGAACTAGATGGGACTTTCTGTTGTTCTCTGAAATAACCATGGGTGTGAGGGTCAAATATTTGAGACTTTTTCCCCATGTTTCTCCTTGGCCAAACTCTCCTGGGTCCCACACTCTCTGGGCAAGGCGTCCCGGTCTCAGGGGGGTGCTGTGCCTGGCGGTTGTGTGCGGTACAGAAAGGTCTGAAACTGGGGGCTCCGCGTCTAGGCGCCTTGGACTGATCAGAAGACTTTCTAGACTCTTCTTCCACTGGTGACGCGGAGGAAGCACCGCCCTGTCTCACAGGGCGCAGGGGACGGCGCCTGGAGACACTGTGAGGACACAGGCGTAGAAGCCAGAGAGACCTCTGTACTGCAGCGGAGTCCAGGAGGCCATGGGGGACCTCCAGAGACACCCTGGACTCTGTCCGGCGGCCCCTCCTCCAGGCACGACTCTGTGCATGCTCTGCCATGTAACACAGATGAGAGCACCTTCCTTTCTTTCCTCCCTCAGAGCAGTTGGTGTTGGGGGCAAACGTGTGTCAGCCCTGCAGGCTTGTTCCAGACATGGCGAGGAATGGAGCGTCGTTGTTAAAATGCCACCTCTTGCCTCTAACGAGCGTGTGTGGTCATCACGGAGATGAGATAGGAATAGAATGAATCACAGGTCTGTGTAAGCGTGCGAGGGGCCTAGGAAAGGCAAAAGCAAAGTTCAGAGGCGAGAGCGTCTGCAGGGAGGTGGCGGGAAGGGGCCCAGGTTGTGTGAGGGCTAGAGGCGCTGCTAGGCATGGCAGGATGGAGGGGTGGCAGGTTCTTGTGCTTGGCCTGGGCACGGAGCGAAGAGGGAAGAATCGGGGGGGGGGGGGGGGGAGGAGATGATCCTACCTGAGCACACTGTCTGGCGCACTACAGTGGAAAGCCATGAATAATTATAGCACCCATTTTGAAAACGTGGAAGAAATGAGTGCCTTTTGTGGGATCTTAGAAGTGAGCGGCCCAGAGACAGTTGGAATGGAGGCTCCTGACGGCGGCCTGGGCGCTCGCCTGCCCTGGAAGTGAAGGTGCTGCCGGGACGGCGAGGGGGCGGGGGGAGTGGCCGCCGTTTCCTTTCGACAAAAAAAAAAAAAGTATTTGTCTACGCAGTGTTTCCCAAAGTGCGGTACGCGTGCCCCCAGGGGTACGGGAAGAGTTTGGTGGGGGCACGCGTTGCACAGAGTTTGGTGGGGATATGCACTGCACCGTGCTGAGCTGCGCCTAATTCTATGTTCTCATGAGGACGAGGGGGACTCAGCATTACGAAAATTATAGAAGGGGTACACGTATGTCAAAGGTTTGGGAAACACTGGTCTATAGAATAGACCGTAGCATGTTTGATAAACAAGGTTTGTGCTCAGAATAGTAACCCCTGTTACATCCAGGATGATGTACCTCGGAGTGAAATGGATCTTTGCGAATATCTTATAGCATTTTAATCTGCCTAAGTCTTTGAGATTACCAAGATAAAGAACTTATCTCTTCATTGAATCTCTTTATTTAAGGTGTAAATACAATGCAGAAAGAAGAGACACACTATCAGTGATTTGCTTTATAACTTACTGTGCGGGAAAGCAAACCTTTGTCATTGGCCTGACGGAAATAAATGTCATTTCATCAAAAGTCTGCTAGGAAATGCATGTGTGGAGTGGATGACTACTGTGGGGCAGGGGAGTACTGTATTCCAATGGTATATCAGCTATGAGACGGTAGACCCAAGTTCAAGTCGCCTTAAAACGCCCTTCTCCGTGTACAGTGGGACTTGTTTGCGATGATTCTACTCATGTAAACGCTGCTTTAACTTGCACTGCTGGCCGTTGGATAGTGTGGAGCACTGGGTCAAAGAGAAGTACTGCCCCCGGTATATATGATGGGGATGATGGCCAGGAACCCCTGCGATGGCTCAGGGCCGTGGAGAAGGGAGGTTCCCACACAGCCCCAGGCCTCTCGGCCCGTGCGCAGGGTCCACGCTGAAAAAGCAACCACGGTTTTCCAGAATAACGCTCCTGGACGAACCTCTTAGCATTTCCGACCCTTTACTCCCTGTCAGACCTGGCGTCAGGGACCACTGGCCACTTAAGGAGCCAAGGATCCAGTCATTCCTTTGCTTTTCTTTTTCAAAAAATGAATCCCTGTCCAAGCGTCCCTCCTCGGATGGGATGAGCACGCGTTCCCTCTGGGAGGCTCCGAGGCTGGCGGCTCTGCGTCAATGGTGCCAATCCCCCTCCCGCGCCTCGTTCCCAGAGCCGCACGCCTACTTGACGGTCCCTGCCACGTTCCTGAGCCCAGGCCCCCCTGAGAGAAGGGGCAGGCTCCCCAGACCCTGCTCTAGCCTCTGGGTCTTCGGGACAGCAGCAGGGCGAGGCCGCTGGACAGCCATTGGAGAGCCGAGTCCCCAACACTGTCAGGGTCACACTCACAGCCCCTCCGCCGCGGTGACTGTGTGACAGGGAGTGCTCCCGCCTCCGTGGCTGTCACTGACCGTGTCACTGCTGGTTTGGCTGAATTACCCAAAAGGCTGAGGGTCTACCTTTCCCCCTTCAAACCCTCTTCGCCTTCCTCCTGTTAGAAAAGGCAGCAAAAGAGAGAGAACAGACAAAATGCTCTGAGCCCGATCCCATTCCAGTTTCTCACTAATGAAGGTATCTGATACATCATTTGTAACTAAGAACATATTAGATCAAAGAGACGAAGATAAATTGCAAAGCTACCATGGCATTCTCTCCCTTCCACGGTCCTGAAACGCTTCCAGAAACCCTCATTCTTTGGTAATTTCAAGGGTGAAATGAAGGAAGCTCTTCCTCTGAAAGGGAGTGCCCACCTGTGTCCACCTGTGCCCGCCCCAGGGCACAGTCCTGCCCGCGGGAAGCCGCCGCTCAGGGTCCGGGTTGCATCCCCTGTGGTTTTAGGCCGAGACAGCGGGAAAGCAGGCCGTGTCTGTAGGCGCCATTCCAGGAGCCGCCCCGGGACAGTAGGGAAGAATCCTCCCAGAATGACTGGCGGGGAGGACGTGGGATTCCTTCCTCGCGGGGCCGCCCCTACCCCCATGGTCCCCCTCCCCCGCCCCCATGGAACGGCATTGTTTGAAAGCAGACACGCGGGGCCCGTGTCCTGGGACTGAAACCCTCTGTATGTGTTGTCATTCACAGTGCATGCCAAGACACTCATGAGCAGCAGAGCCAACCTGGCCAGCTGATTAACTATGTGTGTGTATGTGTTTAAAACAGCCTGATAAGGAGCATTGGAAATCCTCAAGATGAGCGAATATCTTATAACTTCTTCCGCAGGTGCCAGGATAGCTACAAGCCATGGACTTTCTGTCCTGCTTCTTGTTTGTGGCTTTGTGAAGGGTGCTTTGCTTTAATCTAAAGTGCTGACTTTTTTCCAATATCACTTTCTCTTCTTAAAGCAAAGAGCAAATCGCCTGTAAAACCTACGGAGCGGACAGCAAAGTTGACCCTAAACACCAAGCACCACCACGCACCCACTGTAGCCTAATTCCCCAGACCAGGAGCATCTGCTTCCGGAGCATACCTGAAGAGGCCCTCACTCGCTTTGTCCATAATGTTTTCTTGGGCAAAAACCCATGAGCTTTCATTTCAAGAGAATTAGTGTGAAGTGATAGGACGTGTTCCGATAGCAACATCTATTTTCCCCCTTTTCTTCCGGATACTGACAGCATCCTCTCAGAGCGCTCAGGGGTTGGCCTGGACGTCATCGGGATAGTAAATATTTATCATGGAGATCACCATTTCCTACTGAAAGACCCATCATTTCAGGGAGCCAACGGCGATCAAAAGACTCCAGGACACACAAACCATCAACAGACGACACCCCTGTTTTGGGGGACAAGAACAAAATCATCACCACTGCGAGACAACAAGGAGAACCTTATTTTAAATAAGAAATAAAAAAAAGAAAATTTTTTTTTTTAATTTTCTCTTTTTTCTTGGATTTTTCTCCTTTTTCTTGATTACAGTCCTTGTTCAATGGTGACAAGTCCCTGGTTATGGCCAATCCCTGTCAATCCTGGGAGCTTTCTAGAAATGCATTTTGGGTGTTCCATATCTCAATGTATTTTAATTCATTTTGCAATCCCTGTATATGCAAACTGAACAAATTCTGTAAATCGCTTCTAGTATGTGTGATATAACTTCAAAGTAGATAGACTATGACCTTCATGCAAGCTGATTTTTATCATTATATCTATAAATATACACATACAGAGATCCACATGTTGGGTCATCAACCAACCAATGTTTCTTTTGACAGAACCTTTGTTTCTCATTTATGACTCACGGGTTGTGTGGATTCTGAAATGCCTTGTTTCACAGCCACAGGCCTGATAGCTGCGGATGGCCTGTTGGCTTCTCCTTCCTCCTGGAAAATGCATATTCAAGATTGTATTGGTCTCTGATACATGAATTGCTTCTGCTGTTTGTATGCTTGTTGGGATTTGCTATGTTTCTTCATATATGGTGTGTGTTGAGGTTCGAGGGTCTGGGCTCAAGAATGTACACTCCCTGGTTTGACGGCGGTCCTCGGTCACGGTCATCATTGTGATTGTCAGAAAGCAATGTTGCTCCTAGAAATTCTGCCTCAGAGGTGGCTGTGGAGGAGAAGACTAGGTGGCCACCCTCACTCCCTGACTTCCTGGAACAACGCTTCCTGCTGTGACTAACGCTGTGCTTCCTCTGACCTTGATGAATTTTTGTAGCTTCATCGCTCTGTTATTTGCTCTGAGTTATCTCTTAATGTTTCCTAATTAAAAGTTAAAATGTGTTTGTTGGCTCGATAGAATATGCAAAAGATGACAACACATTTCCGATTGAAGATCATGTGTTCAGTTTTGGGGTTTTTTTTACTTAACTGGATTATTATTTTAAACATTCCATTCTTGATTTTGGTTTATGATCACTTAGACTATTTTATTTAGAACCTGTTTCCTACTCTGGCAAAGAATGATGGGCAGAACTGGTGGTGTGGGCCGTATCTGCCATGGATGGATGCGGGTTGAGATAGCGATGATCTGAGTTTTCCTTCCAGAGCGATCCTTCCTTTTTTTTTCCATCACAAAAACAGAAGACACTCAGCTCCCAGCCCAAGGTCCTAAACTGAAGCTTGAAGGCAATGAATACCTCTGCTTTTTGAAGGTAAATGCATTGATTTTCTGCAATTCGATTACAGGCAATGTGCATATTTTCATAATATTCTTGACATTATCTACTGAGAATTAATGCTTCACGCTAAATCTTTGATTGACATTTTCCTTGTTCATTTGGTTTATTATTTCGGTCTAATGAAAAATAAATAAATAAAGGATTTGATTGCACTATTTTATTAACTTAGAAATTCATTTTCTTTCAACGTTGAATGCTTAAAATGCTTACAATAGTGGTGTGGTAACTATTATTTATTAGGTCTGTCTTGGCTTGAATCAGTATACTGATTCAAATTTGGTCAGTCTGGGAAAACCCACGACGTAAGTTCCTTTTATCTCAGTAGATTCCAGTCTGTGTCCAAAATAAGATGTCTCTGTCAATAAGCTACCAAAAACCCAACTCATTAGCCTCTTTGAGAAAAAAGCATGGCATAGAAACTGTAACCAACGAAGGAGACCCTCCGGTCATTTCCACCTTATATGGCATCCCTCAGGGACTACTGCTGTGTGACTAGGACATGGAAACAAATATAGATGGAAAGTTAAGCGACCTGGCTTTTTCAACCTTGACTTCCAAGATTAATTAATGTCTTTCAAAAAAATGAAATCATAAAAAGCTGAAATTGCTTACCTGAATTCAATCAGGTTCTTTGGTTCTTTCTTGAAGACTTACAAATTGTTTACAAATGACACAAGGCCAGTGAAAACACTTAAGGGTAAAATAGGATAACAAAAATCTTCTAAATTCAGAGCTTCTCATGTGAGCTAGTAAACAAGTGTGGGGAGAGGGGCGTATAGGAGCCGACGGAAACCCTATGCATGGTTCTGTCCAGGTGTCTTTGATTTCTGGAGACGGCCCCTGACATTCATTGATTCTGAAAATGGTTAGAATATGAGTTTCTTGCCTAAAAGAAGAATGATTAGATGTTTTTGAGCACCTAAAGGACCTGACGATCATAATTTTGAACTATTTCCCTTTAAAATTCTTAGAAGCAAGACATGTTTAGGGAAATTGTGTGTGTGTGTGTGTGTGTGTGTATATATATTTGGCAAAGAAACATATATATTTTATGTCCTTTTGTATTTCTCATACACCATATACTACATGGTATAACAGATATGGAATAAAGCTTGTTGAATCTTTAAAACCAAAGCTAAGAGCTTAAACTATAATTTTACAAAATATACACAGGTACCATTCAAATACATGGTCCTGGTATTGATACTATATGAAAGACAAAATATTAAATATAACTTAGTGCTGGTTTCTATAAGAAAAATAATCGCAAAAGGAAATGTAACCTCTTCAATATTACATAGACTCTGGTGACTCCAGCTTGGAATATAGTCTGTGAAGCTACAAAATATGTGTGCACATGATTTCCAACGTGCAGCCCAAATAATTTTAATTACAGAACCTCTCGCTCATTAGGGGAGCAGTCTACCACTCAGAACGTGCCCTAGACTTTATAGTCTCATCAATAGAATTGATTAGGTCCTTTCCTAATATAGCGATAGAGAGTAAACACTCAGAAACAGAAAATATGACAGTAATAAATTCTACGAAGAAAACCCAGTAGCATGCTAGCCAGTTTGGCTCACTAGATAAGAGTGTCGGCCTGGGGACCAATGGGTCCCAGGTCTGATTCCGGCCAAGGGCATGTACCTTGGTTGCAGGCTCCTCCCAGGCCCGGGGGCCCTGGTCAGGGCACCAGCAGAAGCAACCAATTAATGTGTTTCTCTCACATCTACGTTTCTCTCTGTATTTCCCTATTTCTTTCACTCTCCCAAAAAAAAAAAAAAAAAAAAAAAAAAAAAAAAAAAAAAAAGGAAAAATACCCTCGGGTGAAGATTAACAAAGAAAATTAAAGGGAGAAAACCCTGTAACGTGATATAAAAGAGTGTGACTAGACTGGTCTGAGGAAGTGAGATTTAAGTAAAACATGAATGACAAGTAGCAGGCGGCAGAGGACCTGGGAGAGGCAGCATCAGGCATGCGCAGAGCTCCCAGCCTGCATCCATCAGGCTGGCTAAGGCGCTAGAAAGAGGGCCAGTGCAGTCAAATGGGGAGAAGGTCATGAGGAAAGGTCAGAGAGGGAAAGCCCGGCCAGACCCAGCCAAGGACGGAGGAACAAAGCAAAGGTTCCGCAGATTCTCATGTGAGCTCTTACTTGGAGCCAGGACACGGACCCTCTCCCAGCTGACTTCTTACCCTTGTAGTTGAGCCTGTAAACAAGACTCCTTTGGGAACAACACTGACTCTCCTGCGAGTCAAGTACACTTTTGCCTAGAAGCTGCTGGCGTATATTAGGCAGAAGACAATGTAACTCTATCTTTTATTATTTTTTTATATTTTTATTGATTTCAGAGAGGAAGGAAGAGGAGAGAGAGATAGAAACATCAGTGATGAGAGAGAACCATTGATTGGCTGCCTCTTGCACGCCTCCCACGGGGGAGCATGTGCCCTTGACCAGAATTGAACCTGGGACCCTTTAGTCCGCTCTATCCACCAAGCCAAACCAGCTAGGGCTTAACTCCATCTTTTAATGCTGTTTTACAATTGTGAATTTTGAGGAAGAAAAGGAAAGATTCACAGGCTTAATGGGGCTACGTTCAGTGTAGGACTGGACTACTTACAGTAATTACAAATGTAATTTGAAATAAAAACAGGAATATTTAAATTGAAAGAAAAGAGATTCACTTGTTGATAAAACATTGTAATTTATAAGGGAGAAGGAGGAGGAAAGAACTCTTCATGTACTGGGCGGGGGGTGGTAATTGAAAAATCAGAAAGTAAGATCTTAGAGTTTTCCAGAAGACAATGGATTAAGAGGTACAGTGGGAAAATAATTATACTTTATTAATTTCTATTTTCATTGTTAAAGAAATAAAATTATTCTGTGATAGTCAAAGCTTATAGAAAAATAGCATGTATCTATTTCTTCTTGAAAGCTATACCTACCTACCTATAAGCTCCGACTCAGATAGGAATCAAATACAATGTTAAAAAATAGGCATAGTGTAAACTGTCTATCATAAAAGATTGTGATCAATGTAAGGAATTACTGAATATTTTATGGTATTTCACTGTATATGAAAAGCAACTAAAGTTTCAAAAGACGATATTTACTCTTACTTTGTGCATGCAATGAAGTGCACGCCAATATTTCCTATTTTGTTTTGTTAAAACTTGTCAAAAACCATTAAATTGGCTTTACAACCCAAAATTTGGGGGGAGAGGGGAATCACAGTTGTATTTTTATTCCAAATTGTAATACAAGTGGCATGAATGATTAATTAAATGACAGTGTATCCTATAAAACAATAATTGGAGTTC